GTTTATTATTACTACTTATAGTTAAAGTTGGTTTATCTAGTTCATAAATTTAGTACGCACACACTCTCTCTCTCTCTCTCTCTCTCTATATATATATATATATATATATATACATTCATGCATGTTTGTGTTGCTATGTATATATTAGTTTATTTATTGATTGTCATATGGCTTTTGAAAATTAATTCTTTTATAGTGAAACCAAGAGGCAAATGAAGATTTTAAAGACCTTATTTTAGCAACCATGCTATTCTTGGTGCTGAATATTTGAGCACTTAACTGATGTTATTGGTACAGGCATATGTAAGATAAATACCTGAGAAAATATTTTTTCTTGGATCTCATTTTACTTATTCACCTAGGGCTAACTATTGTTAAATTATCTTAATTTTCAAAGCCAGTATGTTGATATGTTAAGCATACATTTGTATTTGGTTTCTTAGCTCAAAACCTATCATTGCATCATCTATTAATCTCAATGTCGTTACATGCAGCTATTTATTGATAAATAACATTAGTAACTTTTAGTTGTGCCTCAAGCAGTTCAAATTGTTCCTTGTGATGAGGGCATCTGCTCGATACGCATGTTCTTTGTTATTTAAATATACGATGTTATATTGAATGCCACTGAGGAAATTCACCTGTCAGATCCTATTGTTTACAGTTTACTCCTTGTATATTCTCAATTACGATGGCCATTTTTGTTATTTGTACATTGCCACTTCATTCATTTACACTATTTTGTATGTTGTGTATGTACCATCCTAAACCCCTTAGTGGGCACTTGATGAGAACTTTTTGTTGTTCCAAATTTCAGAAAGTTAGAATGTTATTTGTTGTACCTGGACACTAGTGAGTGAGTTTCCTACATCTTTAGGTTTATTTTGCTAGTTGCTTGATAATCTTAAAGGTTGTCCACAGAAATTTGTCAAAGATGATTTTGGGTTCAAATCTGAACGTATTAGAGGTGATATGGGAGTTTTCTTTTGTAGTGCTCTTCATGTTCACTAGTAGAGTTATGAAAAATTTCTATGCACATGTCAACTCAGTGTTTTTTTTCCTTTTTTTCTTTTTTTTTTTATATTTATTTTGGGCAGTTCAATGGTAGGATTAGAACATGGGATGCAGTGTTGCAATCGTCAACAACTGAACCAATTAAGCCTGAGCCCAATTCCTGCATGCCAACTCTTGTGTATTTAAAACTTGCAAATCTCCTCTGTTCCATAAAGTAATAACCCGTTTGAATAACTGGAAATGCATCTGCTGGAGAGATGCATCTCGTCGAAGATGGATCTTCTGGGAAATGAATTTCGTAGAAGATTGGTAGATTGGGTTTGAATAGTATTGAGATGCAACCTGGAAGATTCATTTCTGCTGTTTTACTCACCTGGAAGATATATTTCTTCGAATTTAATTCTATTCAAGTATTATTTTTTCACTTGCAATTCTCCTTAAACTCGTATGATTGAAACATTTGCCATATTCTACATTGTTGTGCAGGTTTTTCATATTTCTGGAACCATGTTTTGCCTTTATGATCCAAAAAACTCTTAGGTTTCATTTGAAAGGCAAAACATCTCCATCAACGAAGTTGTCTGGAAATGAGCATGAACATTTTCGTTTTTGAGTCGTGAGTGTTTTGTTGGGAGTATTGGTGTTGTTTCCTTGATAAGCTAGGTTGTGAATTTCCGTCCACCATGAATAATTGAGTTGACGAACCTCGACTCTTTTTCACTCCTAAATGGGTGGAGTAGAAACATGGCCTTATCCCCAAAACTTGGTCCGTCCACATTGGGCCTTATTCTTCCTGTATTCATGCCTAGCATGATATGGAACTGAGGATTAGTCACATTTCGTGTTCTTTTGTTGTTGCTATGATTTTGGTGTCTTTTGCAAGATGCCTTCTGGTGCCGATAAATTGTATATGACCTTAGTGCATTAAGTGGTCCTTTGCGTCTGTTGTGAATTGGAAGCTGATTTGTTGTACTTTATACTCATTTTCCATGTAGTTATTTGATTGCCAACTTATAGTCGTGACCTCAATATTGTGGATTCAAAAATAACTATATCGTACTGTAAAAATGTGTAGTTCGAGCCTGAAACTTCGAGCGCCATGGGCTTTGGCTTCCGATGTGGATTTCTGGGTCTGCTCCATATGGAAATTGTTCAGGTTTGCTTAGTCTTCGAGTCCCTTAATGTTTTCCTTAATTATTGGGATTGAGAACCTAGCTTCTGATATAGTAATTGATTTGTTGCCTTAAAACTTACTTTTTCAGGAAAGGCTTGAGAGAGAGTACAATTTAAAGCTAATAACTACTGCTCCAAGCGTCGTTTACCGAGTTAATTGTGTGAATGGTGATACAGTAATCTCTCATGACCCTAGACCTGCTATAGTTTATATCCAGCCATGTCTTACTCAGAACCATCCTTATTTCCTCATGTTAATGATTTTTTAAGCACCATTTGATTTCCTAGCCAAATTTCAATTTGGGCCTATATGAAAATTCCCACCAGCAGTTTGACCTCAAAGAAGGTTTGATTCACAAATATGAATTGTTTTCCAGCTGCAATTGGGACCCCCTTATTGAACTTTTTTGCAAAACAACTCCAAGTTATTTTGCAAAAAATTCAAATACTCACTCTCCCCACCACCATCAATATCACCATTACCACCACCTCTCCACCAACATCACCACTCTACCACCACCACCACCCGGCTAGTTGCCACTGCCACCACCCACCACCACTCCACCATTTCCACCGCCATCACCACCACCACCACCACCATTTCACCACTACGACCACCATAAGACCACCTCCACTACTGCACTACTACCACCACCACTCTACCATTTCCACCGCCATCACCACCACCACCATTTCACCACTACGACCACCATAAGACCACCTCCACTACTGCACTACTACCACCACCACTCTACCACCATCACTGCCTGCCCGCCACCACCACCACCACCACTGCACCGACTTTGACAGTCTGCTATCACTACTCCATTGCCTACCTGCCACCGCCACCACCATTGCTCTCCCATGACCACGAGTTTCACCGCTCCACCACAACCACTCAACCACCACCTACCACCACCACCTCCACCATCACACCACCATGTCACCACCACCACCACTACCCCGCCACCACCGCCTGCCCACCATCACCATCCACTTCACCACCGCCACCACTCTACTATCACCACTCCCCTGCCTACCCTCCACGACCACTACCACTACTACACCACAAGTTCCATTACTCCACCACCACTCCACTACAAGCGCCACCACCTTCACAATATGTTATGTTGGTCTTCAACAAAACGGAGTCTTCTAAGTGAGTCTTCTTGTTTGTTGTGCTACTGTTCAATAAATTGGAGTCTTTTTAGTGTTCAATAAATTTTTAGTCTTCTATGTCATGCTCCTGACCATCATTTGGCTATTGGATTTGCTTGGCTGGACACTGTAGTGATTTAAACAGTCTTTTTAGTGTTCAATAAACTGTTAGTCTTCTATGTCATGCTCATGACCATCATTTGGCTATTGGATTTGCTTGGCTGGACACTCTGTAATGATTTAAGCAATGAAACAATATATTGTGCTTGTAGTTGCTGCACTTGCATGTCTCTAACAATTGCCTGGGTCTTCTGTGCTCTATGGAAAAAGACACAGTCCTTTCCCTTGTTTCGGATTTTTCAATTGTAAAAAGCTTGGTTCTTAATAGTTGGCATGATATTTAACTTAGTTGGAAATGATGTTTTAGGAACTAGATCATTTTTTGGATGGACATTTTGTATTTGAGGGTTTGCTGAAATTTCAACCATGATTGGTACTTTTAGTTTGGTAATTCATACACCCTGGATTGGTAGATTTCTTGAATCTTGTGACAAGAGACATTTATGATTGGGGTTTTCTTTGCATTGCCCATTTTGATTTGTGAAATTCGTTGTAATTGAAAATTTTCTTTTGAGTTTTTGTTTTACATTGGTCTACATAGAATTTTTTTTGGACAATTTCCATTTGAATGAAGAGTTTTGGGTGGAGTTCGTACTGGCTTGAGAGTTATTTGTGAAACTTGGGAGTTTTTAGCAGGTTATTAATTTCTGATGCAGGGGAAAATTGAGGGAACTGTAAAATCAACAAGAAAACAAAGCTAAACACAAGCATAATTCAAAGAAACCTAGGGTTTCTTCTCCATACCCCAAGCTAGGGTTCCAAAAGCCTAAGCGTTTCTCTCTTTTAATTTTTAAAAATCATGTGTAATTTACCCTCTCATGGCCCCACACACTTTATATATTATAATTCAATGTTCAAGGACATTACATGTCCATACAATGACTAAAATGACCTACATATCCTAACTTAAACTTAAATTTAAATTTTGTAATGACAATTTTAGTTATATGAATAGTACTTGTGAATAATGCTCATGAATAGTTTTTATGAATAGTTCCCATGAAATAAACAAAAAAAATATAAAGCCCTAGAATCCTTAAAGAACTAAAAACCCTAGAAATAAGCCCTAAAAGTAAACTATAATATACATCCTTTAAAGTTGAATAAAAATAAAGAATAAGAACAATTTTTCTCTTCATCAATTTCTCATTTTGTTTGGTCACATTATTCTTCAAATTTTTTGCTATCTCTGTGCTAAGTTGTGATCGGGTTATCCAAAAATATCCTCATTTGTGTAATTATTGGGTTGTGATCACCTTGACGACTAGTTTGTTTGTGGGCCGACATGCCTCAAGTCTTAGTTACTTGGGTAGAAAGAAGAGAATAAGATGTAACATTTGTGCACATTGTGGATTTATCACTTGAATTGAAGACCCCGACATAAAAATATCATGGAATTCATTTGGAGTCTTGCTTGGTACAAAACTTTCTAAGGATTATAGAGCTCCTAAATTAGATTGGGGCTGATCAACCAAGATTATTGCCTTCACTGTGATTTAGAAGGTTCTGTCATTACCTGTTGTTGCTCTTTGGAAACGAGTCAATTCAGTTCCTTTTGTTGGCTTTACCGGTAAATGTTCCTTCTAAGTCTCTAGGATAAAATGTAACTTTAGCTAGATAGAGAAATAGAAATCTTACTACTGGTGGTAGTTCTCATAAGGCTTCTGAGTTCCACACAAATCTTGTCTCATCGTGACAATTTCATGTTGTCATGCTTTTTTGTCATCGACAATCAGCCATGTAGTAGTTCAAAAGTATTAGCAGAGGTCTAAATGGTTTAATAGATATATGCAATAGTTGGTTTAGACTAGGTCATAAAATACAATCTGAAAATCATAAACAAATGATTAACAGGTTAATGAAAATTGAAGAAAAAATAAAATTTTAGGTTCAATAAAAAATACTGACCTAAATCAAGAATAAAAAAGGTTATTATCCACTGTGAATTCACTCATGGATAAAAAACTTGATTCTGAAAAACAATATGAAGCAAGAAAAAGACTTTTTTATGTAACAGAAATATTAACTCTAGAAGAAGATTAAAAAAACTTTGAAGCCAACAAAGAAATAATTGAATATTGGAAATCACTATATATAAAAGAAAGAGATATAGATGTAAGAAATTATCTTATTTCTAATATGCAAAGATTATTTACTGAACATGAAAAACTCATGTTAAGAAACAATTTTCATCTAATAATCAGTTTAGATGATAGTGATGCAGAATCAGAAAAGATTGCTGCAAGTGAAATAAACTAATCAGAATCTGAAAATGAAGAGTCTGAAACCAAAGACTCTAAATCAAAAGGTAAAAGAAAGATTGAAGATCGAGATCACCTAGAATTAGACCCAGAGACTAGGCATTGGACACCCGAAGAATTTGAAGAATACCTTCAAATTATAAAAAAAGAAGAATTTCTTCAGAACGAAGAAAATAAAGCTTTTCCTTCCGTTCAAACCCTATCCCTGAGGTAAACCCTAAAAGAGATGATTTACGCAAACAAAATGTCAATGTAAATGGCACATATCTTGGAGAATATGGTCAAGCCATTGATGACTGGGCTCAATCCTTGACTCTAGTCTTAACAAAACAGTTTGGACTAAAGAAAAATTTTCAGACAATTTAGCAGGAACATTGCAAGGAGATACTTTGCAATTTCTTCGTAAATGAGAAGTCTCAACTAGAGGGCAAGCAGAAAAAACTAATATGCTTAATAGAGAAAGGAAAATGGAAGACATCCTGAAAGATTTCACAAAAATCTTAAAAGAAGAATTTCGTAGACACATAGATGAGTATAAACTGCAAAATGATGCAAAATACACTTTCTTAAAGATACATCTTTGTAACATTAAAGAATTCGAAGCTTTTGCTGAAGAATTTAAAAAATGGTACCAATTGTTGAATGAAAATAAATCAGAATTATGGAAAAAACAATTTTTCCATAAATTACCATCACCATGGGATGAAATTTGTAACACTGAATATAGTAAATATGTCAGTGATACATCATCACATGATACTGGGAAATAGAATAAGATTTGTTTTCCGAACAATTAAAAGTCATTGCTTCGACTTAAAAGCAAACAAACAAATCAAGAAAGGACTTGGAGAAAGAGATTGCAGCCGAATTCTAAAAAACAATTTTGAATTTGGTTGCGAAAATAAAAAACAAAAGAAAACTTTCAAATGGAAGAAGTGGAATAAAAAGAAAAACTTCAATCGTAAAAAACGATATGTAGTCAAGAAGAATATCAACAAACCCAAACAAGTTGTCGTTGTTATATATGCAATGAGGAAGACATATTGCCCCAAATTGTTGTCAAAAAGGAAAAAAAATATTAAGAAAATGATAAAAATTCTTGAAGAAAATGATTATGAAATTTGTTTCACAGAAGAAATTTCCAACAATGAACCAATTATATTTGAAGTTGAAACTGAATCAGAAAGCAGTGATTCAGAATCCGAAATAGTCTTCATGATGAATGAATAACATATACAAGAAGGTCCTGATGAAGAGCATCAAGAAGTTCTTGAATTAGGAGATGTAATTCATGAAGAATTTACAATCGATGGGTCTAAATTAGAAAAATTAAAGACTCTTAAGAAAGAAGAAATATATAAACTGTCAAAGTTCCAATTTTGGAATGCTAGACACTTTAAACATTTGGGTGGTAATACAACTTCTAAAGCCTCAGAAAATGGTTCTGTTGAAATATCAATTTTTGACAAAACCAAAATTGCAAAACTCAAAGCAATATTAGAAACTTAGATATATGCATATTGGAGTAATCCTAATCGAATTAACAGAAGAATGGGAGCAAGCAGAGGAGCCGAGGAGGGAATCTCGGTGCTGAAGGAGGGAGAGTTGGCACTGGGACGGACATAGGGATGGGAGGGTGTGGGTAAAGTTGAGAGGTAGGGAGTGGGGCTAGGCATAAGCGGAGAGAAAGCAGGGGCACAGAAAAGGGGGAAGCAAGAAAACCCTAAGGAGAGGCTAAGAGGGATTAAGGTGAGACATAAGGTAAGGAAAGAAGAGATGGGTGAACTGAGGTCGTGGGGGTAGGTTGGGCCATGTGGGGAAGAGGGATAGTGGTCTGGGCTGCAAGATGCACGGCGAGGGAGAGGGGTGGTGTTGTATGGATCCTTGTGAAGGGACCAGAGAGGAAAGAGCGGTGGTGTGAGCGTCGATGAGGAGAGGGAAGCATAGTCGAGTGGGGGATGTGAGCAGGATGGCAGTGATGCCTCAGGAAAGGAGCCAAGCAAGGCTCAGGGGAAGAGATAGAGGGGGAAGGGTCAGCGTGAAGGGCCATGAGGGCAGGGCTGGTGGAGACATGCCTAGTGTGAAGGGCGAGGGGCGAGACCTGGGGTAGCTGAGGGGTGTTGGGCGAAACCACTAGAGCAAGAACAGAGGATGGTGGGGAGTCAGAGATAGTGGTTGTTTCAGGGGCAGCGGCAATATCCATTGAGGGAAAAAGGGGCCATTGTTGAGAATGGAACATATTGGCTGGGGCCATAGTCATAGGGGAGTAGGGGGTAGAGCAGCTGTTGTCGCGGGAGAGATGTGAGAAGACGAGTTGGTCATGTGGCGAGGGTATAAATGAGGGGGAAGGAGCAGTTGTAGATGACTTGCCCGCGGAAGAGTACTGAGGAAGGAAAAAGGTAGGATTAGAATGCGGAGAGGGGGGTACATGGCATGCTTGGGAGGGCTTAGCCACGTGGGTAGAGAGAGGTGATGATTGCGATGGGGATAAAGCAGTAAAAAAGGTGGGTTGACGGGATAGAAGAAAGTTGCTGAGGTAGGTGGACAAGTGTCATGTCCAGGCGATAGGGCAGATGCAGGCGTGGTCAACATTGCAAAAGTGAGGGGATAGGTGTCATGTTCAAGCAAAAGGGCAGGTTCAGGCCGGGACAAAGTGTCAAGGGTCACGGGGGGCGGGTTTGCGACCATGCAATGAGGAGATGGACGTTTGATACGAGCCCTAGGTGGATGCCTACAATTCACTATAATCCATTCTTCATGAGCCGGAGGGGGTTGGCCACCGAGCTCCAAAGGTTGGACATCGCGGGCAGAGGGAGGAGAAGCCGGTTGCCAAGCCAAGACTGTATGGTGATACAAGCCTTCTACCTCAAGCCACAAGGAAGGGGGGGGGTGGGGTTGGATGGGGACTTAAGCAAATGGGCGTCGATGGCGTAGAGGGGAGGCAAGTGGAAGTTGGAGGAGGAGGAACCTCTGTTGTCCATTCTTTATTCTATCTTGTGCAATCGTATGCAGTCATTTGAAAAGAATGATGGGAAGTAAATTTCTCGATTCCATTTTGGTCGAATATCGAGTCCTCTAAAATAGGAATCCCGTTTCCCACAATCCCTCTTGTACGGATGTCGATTATGAAAACTGGTGTCTTTTAGTTGATTGTAATTCCACGATTCTGATTCCTAAAATGACTCATATTCAGAATCGTATCTAATAACTATGGTTTAGTATCACCAATATACTACGCTTAGAATGCAATAATTTAAGAGATTGGGGGAGAAAAAAAAGTACTAGGAGCTATTTCAGATGTGGAACTAAAATGCAACCCTGTTTGATTATAAATCATTGATTTTCAAATCTAGGGTCTTTAATGCCACCTTAGCAACTTAGAAGATTTAGTTGTGGCATCATTATTTTGGCTAGGAGGCTAGTAATTAGAAGCATCTCAATCACCTTTTTGCCTCATTATTTTCTTTTCCATTTTCCATTATTGAATGTTGCTTTGAGGACAAAGTTTGTAGTGACGCTCTTTTCAATTGGGATTAAGAAGAGGTGGTCTTTTCAAGTTATCTCTTTTCCCATTCCCTTTTGAGTCTTCTTCTTACATCATTCCTTATGACGGACCTAGGTTGAGTGCTCTAATCCGTCTGCACTTTCGGATCCAGGAAAGCGGAAATCTATTGAGGAGCCATATGTAAAGGTTGTGACTTATTCTCTCTATTTCTTAATTACTTCTCAAATTTCTATTTGGATTCAGCAATTTGAACTTATTCTCTCTAGTTTGGAAGTAATAATCACTTGTCTTCCATTTAAACATTCTAGTTGTTGATAAAAAAATTTCTTTTCGTTTGTTTTTTTGTTTTTTTAGATAGAGATGATCACACCTAAAGATTATATCGGTTCCCTCATGGAGCTTGCTCAAGACAGACGTGGTTTGTTTAAAGAAATGAAATTTATCACTGAGAATCGGGCTTCAATTGTCTATGAGTTGCCGCTGGCAGAGGTATTGATTACCTGTTCCTTTGTAGTTCCTGATTTTGCTGTACTAAATCATTTCAGGGCACAATTGATGTGTTGGCTATGTATCTGAATCTTATAAGTCTTGGCTAACTTTTGTAGATGGTGGGGGATTTCTTTGATCAGCTGAAGTCTAAGAGCAAAGGTTATGCCAGTATGGAGTACTCTTTTGTGGGGTAATGATTTTAAACAATAATCTATGGATGCCTTTTTATAATGGTTTGCAGTGAACAATCGATAGAGCTACAAGTAACTCAGGCATTTGGATTGAAGGGATTTGTATTTTTGGAAGTGATAGAATAAACCCTGTAATTTTTTATTGAAGTGACTTACATACAAGTTGATCATTTTCTATTTAGAGTTTCTACCGCTCATATACATTGGTGAGAAAAATTTTCTTCTTGAATACCCTTTAGTTCAGCATTATGAGAGTATACACGAAGGAGCTCCAAACCCCTCAGTTCAGAGCAATAATAGACTTGCCGCCCTCAGCAACCTACCTATTGGGTCTGCCAAGCAGTATTTCTGAAACAAATCCATGAACAGAAGACTCAATACACATCTGCCTCCAGCCAATACTGGCCTCTCAATTTCCTGCTCATCCCAACAAGAAACAAGCCACTCAACCTCATCTACCTCCCACACATGAAACCACCGATAATGTGTTTTAAGGATGAAGCCGATTAGATTTATCTCACCACTCACCCCTCTACCCTTCGGATCCCACCACCAGTTGCTTTGGGCTATCAACATCTGCAAAACTTCCCAAGTTGTGCTCCACAGTGACCTCTACAGTTAGGGGGAGATACTTTACCGTCTCATTGGGGTTGGACTTAAACTGAGAAAGAGAGAACGATGGACGTTGTTGCAATCTTTGCTGGCTGGAGTGTTTGATCCTCCAAGAAATGGCGTGAGAAGGATCTGTTCCTGCAGTCCCAAAGACTGGAATCCTCCTGTAACCTGTAGGTTCACTCATGATGGAAAGGTCCTGTTCTCTTTCCAGACCCAGGAAGAAGCCCTGAGGGCACTGGATACTCAAAAGGCCGTCCTTCCATGCGGCAGTGCTCCGACTTGCTCTATGGTTGCCCAAGTAAAAGCATTGTTTACCGCTTATGTTTCGAACCAAGTAGTTTTTACGAAATCCAAGATCTCTGTGGAGGCTTCATGAAAATTAACTGGAAACCTTTCGGTATTCTCCCCCTTGGCTGCATCTAGATGTTAGTGGAGACCATTGAATAGAAAACCATTCCATATTCAATTCAACTGGTCATCATAAAAAACTGTTTCTTGGTTTGCATAGGGCAAAAAGGTGGGGGTGGATGAGAGTCCTCCACCACGCTTGTGCCTCGGCCCCAACAAGCCAACCACGGCCATGGCTTGGATGAAACTTAGAAGAATGGCAGATCTTCACCAACCATAAAAAACAAAGAATAATTCCACCTGAAAAATCAGGGTTGGAAAAATCCTGAAAATTTGTTTCTAATCATTGTCTCCAACAAATCTGCCAGCCATGTCCCTCTCATCGAGGTTGGCGGAATCAAGTCTTAATCCAGCTCCTAAAACCACTCAGCTGGATATCACTGCCAGTCTGTGTCTGCAGAGAGCTATCAAAGAGGTTCCCTTCCTGCTTAGGAGGCCTTAGGGGATATGTATCATCCGAGATTGTTCCATGCATGCCTTCAACTCTGTTCTGATAGGCAATTTCTTGGTCTCAATCTGTCTCTCAGAAGTGTCAGACCAATTTCATGGGAAATTCCCCCCCGGTCTATGGGCCCAATAGAACAAATCTCTAAGAAGCTTTTAGGGAATAGAAGTCAACCAAGTTGCCTCCTGGTTCACCACCCATTGGTGTGTAAGGGGTGATTTCATTGTTATGAGTTGGTTGTTTGAGAAGGATAGAAACAGCCATATTATATCTATATGACAGGTTTTCCAAATTTTTTGTTTAGAAACCAGCTCTTCAACATCCCTTCCGACAGATCCTCCATCACCTGATCCAATCATGCAGCTTGTCGAATTTTGATAGGGTACCAAGACCTGATAGGGTAAATCCAAACATCTTCAATAAGTCTTCCCAATAGTTTTAATTAATTTTTAGTTTTATTTTCTAATTTTTGTGAATTTCCAGGGACATATTTTGTACTAAAAATTATAGTAGAAGTTAGTTTAAAGCTCATGGATAGTTTCTGTTTTTTTTTGTAGTGAAAATAAAGATTCTACGTTGTATCTAGGGTATTATTTTAATTGACAGCAATATCTTGTGGCCCATGTAAGTGGAATTCAGGTATTTGAAATAAAAGTAAAAGAAATTTTTAAAATTTAATACCTTGAGTTCCACAGAGCCACACCTCTCAAAACGTTGGAGGGATACTCTAGAATCTAAAGGTTTTAAAATTAGCTGGATTAAGACAGAGTATATGGAATGCAAGTTTAGTAACAATAGGAGTAAAGTCGAGGAAGTAGTTAAGATTGATGGCCAAGAAATACCAAAAAGAGCACAGTTTCGATATCTTGGTTCGACCATCTAGGAAAATGGAGAGATTAAGGAAGATGTCGCATATAGAATTAGAGCTGGGTGAGCGATGTGCAACCAAAGCATTATGTGATCGACACATACCATTACCAATGTCGCTGAAGGGCAAGTTCTATAGGACAGCTGTGAGATCAGCTTTTCTTTATAGGGCAGAATGTTTAAGATGAGTGTAGCTAAGATGAGGATGTTGAGATGGATGACTGGCAAGAGAAGAAGGGATAGAATTGAAAATGAATACATTCGGGAGAATTTAGGTGTGTTTCCAATAGGCGATAAGATGAGAGAAAGTTAACTTAGGTCGGCTAGCTATGTGCAATGCAAATCTAGTGCAACACTTGTTAAGAGGTGTAAGTTAGTTCAAATGGAAGGCTCAAAAAGTGCAAGGGGTGGGCCAGTGTTCCAAAAAACATTGGGCGGCGCCTAAGCGGTCGGGGAGGGTCCAGGCTGCCCAAAACATGTGCGACCCAGGTAGAATAAAAAGCATAGAACTCAACTGTCCAATTATTTTAGGTTCAAATCCTGTGTGAAAATTAGAAAATGCATATATATAGTTTATCCAAAGTCCATTATTCCATAGTTCCATACATTTCAAATTCAAAAATCAAAGTTCAAAGCTCAAACTTCAAACCTTTAAACATTAGAGTATTCGACCATACTCCATAGTCCATACGATAATCCAAACTCCATGCACTCTGTAGTCCATACACAGTAAAAATAGAAAAATATAATCCAAGACGGCAAGACATCGATTTATCATAAAGAAATGGAATTAAATAATACATAGGACATCAAATGTCCATAGTCCACAACTCCACAGACACTTCTCCATACTCCATAAGTTCCATATCTATAGTCCATACATAGTTTCAACTTACATACACATAACTAAGAGGAGGAAAAGAAAATTGAAAGAAATATAAACTTAAAAAGTCTTCAGTCATCACTCATCAATCATCATCAGAAAAAACAAGGTCAACTGCATCATATGCATTGAAGTCAAGCCATGATCATTGGAATCATCTCCCTCCTCAACATAATTGTTATCCTCCTTTGTCTCTTTTGAATATGCCTCTGCTTCGTCCTCCACCCTTGTCCTCTGTGAAGAAGATCTAACAGCCCTAGGAGGGTCGATTGTTGTCCCAGAGGCCTCCATGACCATATTTGATGTCAATCCTTCATGCCCCTCGGCCTCCATGGAGATAACCTTAGACTGCAAATCACAATGTTTTGTAGGTATTTCAGTCAAAGAATCTAATAATCCTTTTTTGTATTTTGCTTTGTAACTTCATGGTTGTTTTGTTGGCAGGTATAGGGAAAGTGAATTGATAAAGCTTGATATTCAAATCAATGGAGAGCTAGTAGAGCCATTAGCGACCATTGTTCACAGAGATAAGGTGGTTAAAACTTTTGGCCTGAATAACTTGTATGATATGTGTATGTGTGTGTGTGTGTGTGTGATATATATATATAGAAAAAAGTTTATATAAGGTTGCAAACTTGAAATGTAGACTTATAGATCCACCTCAAAAATCCATCAAAAAATGTTATTTTAATATTGGAAACTCTAGTTGATCATCTCGACATCGAGATATATGAATATGGAAAAAGAAAAATTTAGTCTCAGAAATAGTGCATCTTACAAAACATTATTTAGACCGTCCAATTTCAAAATTTTCATATGTTTATAAATCTATTTGATTTTAGCCATTTTTTGAGTTTAAATTTTTATAATTAGATATGAAAATAGATTTATAAACTTTGTAGGTGTGCCATAATTGGATTGTTTAAGGTTGCAACCTTATACAAACCGCACCCGTATGTATATATATATATATATATATATACATACACACACACACATATATATATGGACAAGTCTTCCCAATGCCTATAGGCAAAAATGAACAGTGATTTCTCCTACCCTCATCATGGTCCAAAGTTCATCGCACGGTCACGATTGTCCGGTAGTATTTCATTTTTTTTTTTTTCTACAAATCAGAATGACCTGAAATTTGGAGCGTGTGTACATCTTAATGAGACGCACCTAATGAAAATATAAAAAAGATAATTCGCAAAAAACAAATTGACCATTTTGGTTTTTTCATGTAAAATATTTTTTTTATATTTTTCGTAGATTGGCCTATTTTTGATGAACACACGCTCCAAATTTCAAGTTATTCCGATTTGTAGAAAAAAAATGAAACACTACCGAAGAATAGTGACTGTGCGATGAATTTTGAACAGTGATGAGGATAGGTAAAATTACTGTTCATTTTCGCCTATAGGCGTTTTGTAGTATCTTCCATATATATATATATATATATATATGAGTAATGATCCTATGAGACCCTCCCACACCC